ATTTATTCTTTTCCTTTCATTCTTTCACTTAGAGGCTAGAACCCTCTTTATAGTAAGTTTTTATTTTCATTCTCTCGCTTAGAGAGTAGAACCTCTCTTTAGTGTTAGTTTTTATTTTCATTCTCTCCCTTTATTTCTTTATTTTTATTTTCTAAGATATGGACCTAATTTTTGTAGTAATTTTAAAAATTACATAAAACTAGTTTAAGTTTTTTTATAAATGTGAATTACTCCCATTTGCTTAAAATGATCATGTTTAAGATAATCAACTAGAGAACTAATTATTGGAGGAATTCTAGAATTACTATCTAGCTATTGTTCTTTTCATGAATGTTAATTTTGCTTAGATGATAACTTAATAGGTTATGCTTTTCTTAAGTGGTTTGATAGTCTATATTTAATAATCTAAAGTAAAATATGATAAAAAGAAGATAGTCTATAATTTATAATTAAAATTAGCTAGTGGATTCAAATCTAGATTCCTCATATCTCAAATTGAATCCTCTATCTTTTACTTTCTTGATTTTCCCCTTTATTCTTGATTTTTCTCTTATTTATTTCTTGGTTTATTTTCCTTTATTTTATTCATCTTTCTTTCTCCACTCTCAATCGAATTTTATTTTTATTTGCATATAGTCACATCCACTCTTTTTATCTCTCCACAATCACACATTTATTACTTCTAATTATGACACACAACTTAATTTTTGATTAATTCCTATAACACTTTCCTCGTGGGATTCGACATTTTTCTTTACTATAACTTGATTGTGCACTTACAATCTCAACATATTCATGAACAACGACATCAGAGGATGAGTCTGAAGCTGATACAAGTTAAGATTATGAACATTGGAATAAGTGTTTAATGTGGAAAGATGCTTTGTTTCCAGATTCATATCAGAGTAACTCAAGTGATGCTGATGGTGAGTATTCAGATAAAGAGGTATGTCCTTCGTATGATAAGCTTTATTCTAAGTATAAAGAGAAGTTAATTTATTTATAAAGCTTATAAATATGAAGAAACTAAAAAGAAGAATACAAATTTGAAGGAAAAAAACTTTATCAAAGAAATTTAAATTTTTATCTACAAATTTGAATTCTATTGGTTCAACCTCTCTTGAGTGCATGCAATGCTCTAAATTAAAAAAAAAAATCAAATTTCTTGTTTATCTAAGCAACTTGAAAATATCCAATGTGAAAAAAATTGTTACTAAGATAAATGAGTTATATTGTGATTTGTCAGCTAAACAAATTCAGTTTGAAACTCGATACACAATAATTATTTTCAAAATAAATAACTAAAGTTTAAAATTTGTGATTTGAAAATGGTTGTGAAGAACTTTTTTTGGGGTTCAAATGGTCTTAGCATGGTCTCTTCTAATCAACAATTTGCAAAAGATAAAATGGACTTAGTTATTCATATTCTGAAAAGCATAAAAGTTTCAACCTTCTTTTGTAAAGGGTAATAATATTGCTTGTTTTGATCCTATTCCCAATAGAACTCATCATTATATATGCTCATTATGTGGAAAAATTGGAAACGTTTTATGAGCTGTCGTATAAGATATAGGATCAAAACAGTCAAAGAAATTTTGGTACCAAAGGTGTTATTACTAACCAACGTGAAACTATCTTGTATTAATACCTAGGTCACAATTATCTACTTTTCTGTAGGTTTGCAAGTCGATCGATAATTAATGCAACACACGTTATTGCTTGCAAGTTTAGATTATCAAAATCTTTTTCTTGGACTACATGAATATGACAAGATACATATTTGATATATATCTTATATTATCTTCTTATAAGGGTAAGTTTCAGGCATATTCTATAACCCTTACTTGTTACATGTATATTTAGGTGCATGATAAGATACACTAACATGTACTAATCATTTGCACTCACTTAATATCTATTTAGCTAGTATTCATATGCATGATCATTTATTCTGTTGTATACATATAGAATAGATTTGATAGATATCTTGATTTTTGGTTTTTATTTGATTTTTCTTGATTTTTGGTTCTTTTCATATGTTAAAACATCATAAATTTCATTTCTTTCTTTTCGTTTTTCTTATGAAAAAATTAAAAATAAAAAAATTTCTCTTTCATTATTTTTTTCTTATGAAAAATCTAAAATAAAATAAAACTTTTTCTTTGTTTTCTTTTTTTTAAGAAATTTTTTGGAACATGCCTATGAATATGCTTTTGTATTAAATATTTAGATAGGTTATCTATTAGTATATAAGTATGAGTTTTATTATATTGGTTCATAAATGTTTGTACAACCTATCTATTTTATATGTGCACACAAAATTTTACACATTTGATTAAAAAACATGATGTTATATGATATGATTCATATTATTTTTCACATCTTAGTGTAATCTTATCATGTTTAGTTTGGTAAAAGTAGGAATAAACGTTTTTGTATGTTGTTCGTAAAGTATTTTTGGATATATCAAATAGGTTTTGAGCTTAATTTTATGCTTGAATACAGTACCAATATTTCTCTTCATGTATAAAAGTATATATATGCTATAAAACATGAAGGAAAAAGAGTATATTCGTGAAAAAGATGGTCAAAAACCCATACTCTATAAATGCACGGCAAAATTTGAGTGTATTTGTTAAAAGATGGTCAAAGAACCATACTCGTAGATATACATATGCAATATCTCAAGGATTCTAACTATTTTCTATATTTAGAGATGGTGTACATCGCCCTCCAAACACTATCGTTTTTCCTCTTAAAATTTTCTATATGGTTAAGGTGATAAATGGAGATTTTGGACCTTTTCAAAAGGTTGAGAGAATTCAAGTTAAGTAAGAAAAGAAAGCTCAAATTAGAAGATATATCTAAATTTATATCTTTGATTATTATTTTTTTAAACTTTTCATTGATATCTTCATAGTTTGAAGTGGATTTTAATATAATTGGTTGTCATATTTCGTGTGTTTTAGAGTTTTATATGTATTTCTCGTTCTATTTTCTATAAAAAAAATTTATGAACTAGTGTGTATTTCTTTTCCTTACACCTTTATATAATCTTTATTTAGATTTTTCGGTGTACTGTATATCCTAGGTGTGTGTTTCTTTTGATAATGACAAAAAGGGGAGAAAATAGGAAATTTGAAAGTTTAAAAATTTGAAAACTATTTGAAAACTTTTTTGAGGTTGATTGTGGTTGATTGTGAGGTTTTTTACAAGTTGTCATGTTTAGTTTTCAAGTGGTCTCAACATGACAAGTCTTTCAACCTTGATTGGTTTTAGGAGGAGTTTTCATGTTTTGGTTTCGAACAAGGAGTTTCTGGATTACCAGTTCTTTTTCATGTAGGCATATTTATAAGGGAGCTTTGCATTGCATATCATACATGTTATCTTGAACTAAATATATATCTCACCATGTTCTTAATTCGCAGATTTCAAATTTCGAGTTTTGTTATTATCAAAATGGGAAGATTGTTAGAACATTGTTCTTGGAGTAACGATGTTCGTACAATATCTTTTGTTTGATCAATAACGAACTCTCATTTGGTGCTAGTAAGTTTATGAGGTGATATATTCAAGGAATAAATATGTATGAAAAAGGTTTAGCTCAAAACGATGTTAAAATTAACACGAACAATTGATTTCAACCATTAACCATCGACGGTCACGAGGCAACCATCGATGGTCCATAGGTCATCGACGGACTGTAGTCAATAATCTGTATATTTTACAAATGAGAAATCAAATCATCAATGGAATATAGTCAACCATCGATGATCGCTTCAACCATCGATGGAGTAAACAATTTGTGAATTTCATAAACTAGAATTTGAACAATGGATGGACTACAAGAAACCATTAATGATCGGCATCAACCATCGATGATCGTGTTTAACCATCAATGGTTTGGACGCATTTAGGTAGATTTTTAGATTCAATCTCAGCCGTTTTATTACAGATATGATCTGCTATTTCAACACTAATTAGAGGACTTCTTTCCGATGCAATCAAGGCCTATTTAAGGAAAGATTGGAGACAAGATTTATAATAAGAAAGAGAGAAGGTAATTGCACAAGTTTGTGAGATTAAATTCTAGGATTTGATAGACTTTGTGGGATAGAATTTGATTTCCTGAGGCCCGCTCAACTTTTTCTCGTTGTGTGCAACATCGAGAGATCGTTTCAGCGAGGAGGATTACCCTTTTCGTTCAACCTCAACATCTTCTCGGATCATCTTCAACCTTGATTTGAAGTAGGATTTGTTTTAAAGAGGCTATAAGCTCTTTTTAATTATGCTTTAACTATTTTAGGGTTGGTTTTGTATTTCAAACTTGAGAGGTTGACGGCTTACTCAAGCCGAGGTAATTGAGGGTTAGCGTGCTCAAGCCAGGGTAATTGGGTATCGCTAGTTGAGGCTAGGTTTCTTCTGGTCATTGTGAAGAGTTGGGTATCTCGACTAGTTTTAGGTAGATTATAATATCCTATCTATCAAGCCTGCAGAATCGAGTTGTGATTTCGAGATAGCTTTGGTCATAGTGAAAAAGGTCCTTCACATAAAAGAAGTGTGGACGTAGGATATTGATCTGTACAACTATAAAAATCTCATATGTATATGTGTTAGTTGCTCTTAGTTTGTCGTTTCATATTTTTCACAGCATATTTCATGTCTATATGAAAAATCTGTGGCAATCCTATNCTATTTATCCGTACAATATGGACTCTGATACCTTTGCTTAGATGCAAAATTAAGCAACATTCTAGGAGGTTTGTGATGGGGCATAAACATAATTCAGGGGTCAAATTAACCCAAAAAATAAAGATATCCGGTGTTTTCTCTTTAACTTTTTCACTTAAGTCAATTACCATTTCTATTCCTTTATGACTATATTCACACACGAATCGCCTGCAGAAACCTGGTTTCTGTTTGAAAATTCTTATTCACATGAATCTTCTGCTTGTTACTGCCAGCACGAAATTTTCAAATTCTTGGGAGAGGCAACTTACAAGGATTGCAACTGGGCAAGCTGCCCAATATCCCCATTTAATGTCCCTTTTATACCCATGGTAGATAGTTTCCTGAAACAGCGAAGTCATTGTAGCATAACCCAAAGGTAGTATTCATAGGAGAATACAATAAAACAAGAAAAACTCACAGCATTATCACTCTTGATTTATTGTTGCAGACAATTCCTTCCCATGGAACTCCGCATGGATCGTTCGACTGCCCCCAATTAGGTGGTGTATTCTGCCATTCACTCATGAGAGACAGCAGTGCAGCAGCTGAAATATTTCAATAAGGTCTATTACTAACCCTGAACATTTGCATCCTATCTCCATGAAGACATAATAGCGATACAAAGAGGAAGTGTATATATGACATTTGTATGACCTCAATTCTTCTGAGGAGTCATTTCAAAGAAATCAACGTTGGGATTTTCAATATTATTTGAATTTTAAAATGACAATGTACACGGCGTATCATAATTGAAGGAACTGAAGGAAATTACAGAAACTGCAGTAAAAAATGCAGTAAACTGTATAGAACTGCAGAAAAACTGCATAGAACTGCAGAAAACCAATCTTGAAGGCTATAAGGGAGAAACCATGATTTTTTTACGGAAAAAGTAAGTAATCTTCTTTGAATCTCCTCGTAGAAATAATCTCCTTGAAAAATCAATCTCCTATAATCTCTGTGGTAATTAGATTTCAGGATGATTTACCGTCTCGCAACTAGTGATCATATAAAGTATGCTGGACTTGAATTATCTTGGAAGACAAATTTACAATAAGCTTTGAGATACGTGACAAATATTGTCTCAATAAGATAAATCCTATTCCTTTATTTAGGTATCGGACTATTACTGACTAAGTCCACAATAAAAAGCCAATTCAAGATTAATTTCAATGACCTCTCTTGGCGGGGCATTTCAGAGAATGGATGAGCTCCAAAGAGAACCCCTATTTTGATCAAATTCAATCTGTTTAACAATTGAAATGATAACGATGCAGGAAACTCACTATCATGAGGGTCCGTATAGCAAAGGCCAGTTCGAATCCCTACAAACGCCACGAAGAGAAGCAGAAGCCTTACGATGACCCCCATCCTCGCTTCGAAGACCTCAGTTTCTGATATGGTAACAAGAGACACTTAAGTCAGTTACCACCTCAGAGTCTCAACAGAAAGAGCCAATGATTCTGCGCTCCAGAATCCAATCATGAAAGAGTTACCAAAAGCCTTTGCCTCTCTTCAAAGCCAACCAATTTTTCCAGGATTCAATAGGCTTTGGTTTGCTTAGTGCTGCCTACCTTTGGAAGAAAATGATGATGCTGTGTGTTAACAAGGAAGACGAAAAGGAAATAAAGAAAGAAGAAAACACTAGGTGTTTGAATTGATCTAAAAGATATTATTGTAATCATTATTTTAGGTTCAATTGGGTTTGTTGGTAATGAGAAGAGAGGTTGTGTGGACCCTATATTGTTTCTTCATTGTTACTCCCTTTATTTATTCATGAATTATATATCTTAATCAAATCTTCATTTATTGTGGAATTTGGTTGCTAGGTCTAAAGTAACTTTAGAAGTGTGAATGCATGTTTTTAAGACAGTCAAGGTTTTATAACTATCACTTTGCGTGCTTATTTTGAAGGGAAGTTAATCAAATATTTTATAAGTAGAGGTTGAACAGTCAGATAAATTTAGAAATTCCATTTTCTTTTTCTTGGGTATTCATTCATTATTATTTTTGGGTTATTAATTATTATTATTATTTTGTTCTATAGTGGCGTCTTTGCATAGGCAAAGGAGAACAAGGGTCTGGCAGCTCTCCCTCTGACTCTTTCTCAATAGTTATAAATAAATTCACCATGTGTAACGATGCAGCATATAAGCATGATTCTCATCTATGGATGCAGGCTTGAGTGCTGGAGGGAGTTTAAATTAGAAGGATTGACAAGGTCTTCTTCTAAACGGGCAAATGCAATCGGCAGAGAGCAAAATTTATATAAATTTTTTTTTGCCCCACTGGTTTAACTTTCATTTTCTATTATACCCATATATTAAAATTCATATTTTCTTCTCCAGCTGAGATATACTGAATAACTAAATGAAATTTTTCTTCTTTTCTTTTTTTTCTTTTGATAATGTGCACGCAATGCTTATAGTGAGGTTGCTGATTTTGTTATTGTGAACGGCGGACATGTGCAACAGGCCCAGGGCCCACCCGAGATATATGTATAGCAATGCATGTGCAGCGAGACAGGGCCACACCCACGTGCCCGAGACACAAAAGGTGTCTCGGCAGCGGCAGCGGGGGCCACACTCGAGACACGAGAGCTATCTCGCGGGCGCCAACTCCAGCGGGCAGAGCTGAGGCCCAGTTTCGGGGTCTTTTTTTGACCTGTTTTTCACTATAAACAGGAACTTGTTTCCTAGGGCTTTGTGAGAAGAGAAAACGAGGGTTTTGGCGGCTAGAGAAAAAGAGAGTTTTCAGATCTAAAACAGAGATCTTGAGGAGAGAAAAAGAGAGCTTGGAGAGATTTTACAAGAGAGAGGTCAATTTCATTTGGGTAAAAATCATAGCTTCATCTTTGGGACGAGCTTGTAGGTTGTACAAGTCGTCGGTGTTCTCCTTCGTGGTGGAATCTCCCCTCCCCTTCCCCGTGGACGTAGGCAAGTTTTTCAAACCACGTAAATCTCGTGTCTTTACTGTTTTCTGTGTGTTGGCTTTGCTTATAGGTTCCCTCGACAATTCAGTCCTAGAACTGATGAGAAGAAGAGTGTATATCTCACTTTGTTGAGATATTTTACTTCTGTTCTTGTTTCCTTCGCGAAACAGGAACATAGAGGTTGGCTTGAGCTTTTATAAAAAAAGCTAGGGATTTCTCTCGGGTTATATCGCTTCCGTGGTGTAAGGGCGTGACTCTACGCCCAACAATTGATATTAGAGCCCTTTAATCAGATTGGTGGTGGTAGAACTTCTAATCTGAGGTGGTGCGTGATTATTGTGTAGTGAACACTAGCTGTTTGTTGGAATTCCTGAGAGAGGTGGTTTACCAAAACAAGCGAATAATGGCGTCTACAAGTAAAACAAGTAAAGTTGGAAAGTACAAGATCAAAAAGATCAATGGGTAGAATAATTTTTCCTATTGGAGGATGCAAATAAAAAACTCATTGATTTCGCAAAAATTACACAAGACTTTGGCTGGAAAACAGAAGAAGCATAAGGATATGTCTGATGAGGATTGAAAGAAGCTAGATCTGGAAGCACGGACGTCGATAATCCTTTGCCTTGAAAGGGATGTAGCTTTTATGGTAGATGAAGAGGAAACGACTGCGGGCGTGTGGTCAAAATTAGAAAACACTTTTATGACAAAGAGACTAATGAACTGGATCTATTTAAAATTCAAATTGTATACTTGCAAGATGGAAGAGGGCTCATTAATCTGGGAATATATCAACAAGTTTGATAGGATCATATCATACTTAAAGGGCATAGATGTGACAGTTAAAGATGAGGATCAGACTCTTCTCCTACTTTTATCTCTACCGAAGTCTTATGAGAACCTGGTGCAATACCGATGCTTGTGGGAGACAATTTGACGATGGATGAGACTAGAACGACGCTTCTAGTAAGTGACCTTCGAAAGATTACAACCAGTGACATGACTACTGGTGGAAACAAGGAACAGGCATAGGGATTGTTTGCTAGAGAAAGGGGCAATTAGCGAGGAAAAGGCAAGGGAAGAAAGTCTAGATCTAAATCGAGACCTCTTGCGAGAAGATCGTGTTTTAAATGCGGTGAAGTTAGGCATTTCAAGGTCGACTGTCCAAATAGGAGAGTAGGTGGGAAGAAGAACAACAACAAGACTGAGAAGAGAGAAGGCAAGGAAGAAGCGAGCTATGTTTTAGAGGAAGGGAGCGAGAAGGAATGCCATATCATCACGGGTGGCGAGGATATCTCCGAGAAATGGATTCTTGATTCAGGTTGCTCTTACCACATGTGCCCAAATAGAAAATGGTTTACTACCTACAGAAGCATTGATGGTGGAACCGTATTGTTGGGAAACAACCATGCTTGTAAAACGGTGGGGTTAGGTGATATCAAGATCAAGATGCATGATGGGGTGGTCCGAACCTTGACGGATGTAAGACATGTTTCCGATTTGCGGAAGAATCTTATCTCAGTTGGTGCATTGGACTCTGGTGGTTGTAGGATTGTTACAGAGAATGGAGTGAAGAAGGTTGTTCGGGGTTCCTTAGTAGTGATGAAAGATGTTCGTCATGGTAATTTATACACTCTCTCAGGTACAACGGTGATGGGAGATACAGTGGTTGGAACTAAAGGAAGTGGTGGAGACCCATATGAGCACACACGGTTATGATATAAGCGGCTTAGACACATGTCAGAGAAGGGTCCGGATCTGCTAGGTAAGGAGGGTTTCCTGAAGAATCTGAAGAAACCTTGCATGGATTTTTGTAAGGATTGTGTGTACGGAAAGGCGTATAGGGTCCAATTCTTGAAAAGCAATCATAAGAGCAGAGTTATATTAGACTATATGCATACAGATGTGTAGGGTCTGGCTCAGACAACTTCCAATGGTGGTTTCAGGTATTTTGTCTCGTTCATAGATGATCATTCGAGGTATGCTTGGATTTATTTTCTTAAGCATAAGAATATAGATGATCATTCGAGGTATGCTTGGATTTATTTTCTTAAGCATAAGAATGAGGTATTCGAGACATTTAAGAAGTGGGTATGCTTGGATTTATTTTCTTAAGCATAAGAATGAGGTATTCGAGACATTTAAGAAGTGGAAGGCGATAGTAGAAAATAGGGCGGGGAAGAAATTAAAGATACTAAGATCTGATAACGGTACAACATATATAGATGATGCTTTTAAGGAGTTCTATGATCAGGAGGGCATTGCTAGATACTAGACAGTCAGATCTATACCACAGCAAAATAGGGTCACGGAGAGGCTAAACCAAACATTGTGAGAGAAAGCAATGAGTATGCGATCTTATGCTGGATTGGGCAAGGAATAATGGGCAGAAATGATGGCTAGAGCTTGCTATATTGTGAACCGTTCTCCACATTCTACATTGGATGATGATACACCCTATAGAGTGTGGTTAGGGGAGCATGCAGATTATGAGAGGCTCCGGATTTTTGGGTGCACCGCCTATTATCATGTCAATGAGAGAAAGCTTGACGCGAGGGCCAAGAAGGCTATATTCTTAGGATATGCAAAGGGTGTAAAAGGCTACCATCTTTGATGTACAGAAGATTCGAAGTTCGTGATCAGCAGACATGTTATATTTGATGAGAAACCCATGATTGCTAAGGCGCCCAAGGATGATGGTGTTCGGACTGTTGGGACTTCAAAGTCTCATGTTATTGAGATAGAACCTAAAGACCAACTAGGTTCTAGTCGTGTTCAAGTGGGAAATCCGGTAAATGATGACCTTGATAAGGAGGAGGATTAGCAAGAAAATACACAAGCACTACAATAATAACAGCTCGAGGATAGTTTGGATTTTACTAGGCCAAAGTGAGCATACAAGCAGGTACTGAAGCTGGGGGCTGATCAACCCCTGAAATACTATGGGCAGGTTAATTTGGTGGAATACGCACTCTCAGTGGAGAAAGATGAGCCGGTCTCCTTCAAGGAAGTTATTCGGGATAAAGATAGTGAGAGTTGGTTGGCTGTGATGGAGGAGGAGATACAATCTCTTCGGAAGAACCAAACATGGGAGGTGGTCCCATTGCCCGTAGAAAAAAAAGCTATTGGTTGTAAGTATGTGTACAAGGTTGAGGATAAGGAGAATCATGTGTGTCGCTTGAGGAAGTACTCTATGGACTGAAGCAATCTCCTCGACAGTGGTACAAGCGATTTGACTTCTTCATGCTGAAGCATGGGTTTTCCCAAAGTGATTATTATTGTTGTATTTATATTCGGAATCTTCGTGGAGGTGATTATATCTATCTTCTTCAGTTTGTGGATGACATGCCTATTGCTTCTAAGAGCAGGGTGGAGATAGATAGGCTAAAATCTCAACTTGGCAAAGAGTTCAAGATGAAGGACGTGGGCGTTGCAAGGAAAATACTGGGTATGGAGTTTAGAATAGAGCGGGTGAATCTACGATTGTTCTTGAGTCAGAAGGGCTACATAGACCAGGTTATCGTAAGGTTCGGGATGCAAAGTGCTAAGTTGGTGGTAACTCCATTGGCTCCATACTTCAGGCTTTCAGG